AAAAGATAATGTTATCATAGAAAAATGTTCTCTTTTGTATGCTATTAAAGACACTTAATACGATGTAGAAAGCTCTCAGACGGGAATTGTTTGTCGTCTGTCGCGTCCTGACGGTCCCGAGGTCGTCACTCGTCAGACGTCGATCTGAGGGCTCTAAGTGGCACTGTCAACTTTGTTTTCCTACGATAATGTGTCCGTAAATACCGTCATCCCCTTGCTGCTGGCTTTACAGGCTTATTTGCGTATACGTTTAATTAAGACTTCAAATTTTGAGTTCAGTTAAATCGTTATAAAAATAACGATGTCAACCTCTATTATTCGTATAAGTCGTAGGTTTACCATTGCAATTCAAAGTTTTCTGTTTCCGTTAGAGATCTTTATTAATTATAATTTAAAATTTTGTTAATTTTTGGTCTTACCTACATAAAACAAGCTGACTATCTTAAAGTCTTGCAGTAATGCTTGAGTCTGGTAAAATACACGCATTTAAAATAATAATAAACTTAACTTTAATTTTATTATAGTTTCCCAAGCAAACGGTAGCACCCAGTCTCTATTGAAATTTCGATGTCGGTTCGAATCGGTGTTCTTTTACGAATATTTGTGCTTTACCAAAGTAACGCGGAAACAATCTTGAACATGTTCAAAAAAGAGTGGAACTCTGAAGTCTGCAAACATGTTCAAGCTCTTCTGTGTAATAAGAAATCATAAAGTGATCTTTATACTCGTTTTTTTTGTTCAGATTACAGAATTATTAAAATATGCAGTGTAAATTTTGCAGTTGGCATTATCTTGTGAGGTTATTTCAACTAGGGTCACGAACATAACACTTTCCATCGTTTTCGGTCACCTCCATAGCGAACGACTTCGCACCTTATACTCGTATTATTTCCCTCGTGCAGAGACTTTAATTTGGCTAAAGTTAACTCGTTACATGTCTCTTAGAAGTCTTGTGGTTTGTATTTACTAATAATTTCCCAATATATGCATCGGCATCATGTTCCCTGTGGTTACTGTATAAATATCGTTTAATTTAACACGAGAGATATTGGGTGACAAGTGGTTTACTGTCGATTCTCCAATGTAACGCACTGCAATGAATCTATTATTATTCAGCCGTTGCACAATAGAGGTATCGATCCCGAATACAGTTAGACCACAAAAGCAGTGTCGGGTTCAATTCCCACCTGTACAAGGCACTCGATGCATACAAAACTTGAAGTTAATGTAATAGATCTTCGATTGTGCTATGTTTTTAAGCGATTGAATATTGACCTTTTTCTTCACTATTCCTTATTTTTATAAATCATATTATCTATTCAAAATCTCTTTAAAATTGCAGACGTATCAAATACTTTAATATTGAATCAAATCCAATGTTTAATAAAAAGGCAATCTTTTGCCGTTATTGAATTGGTTCGGAACTCTCTAGTTTTCCGACTTTCAATTTAACGTTTCCGTAGGCTTTATATGTTTGAGCTGTAGTTAGTTTGATGTAGTGGGAGCTCTAAGTGGAAACTGCAATGGCGGCCAGGGAGGTTTCCCCACCCTCTCATGCCTATATACTTTAATGCGCCAGTGTGCTGCGCTTTCGTAATATTGACTTCCTTATTACGTGTACCCAACTCACATGGACGGCGAATCCTGAATTATAAGATATTGATATCAGCATATAGTTTTTGTATATTAACCTGTAAAAAAAATATTATTTTTTCATTAAAAAAAATCGATATACCTACAACTTGTGTAAACGTTATAAATGTTCTTTTGTTTATGATTTTTAAATAACTCTTTAGTGTGACGCTTATTTTCAAGACGTAGAAACTAAATAGCACAATATCGAAAATAATAAAGTTTTCTTTCGGAAATAATAAAATATATTTGGAAAATATAACTAAATTCATTTTTAATTTTCTTCTTTAAGCTTTAAATCACTAATGTCTTACTTTCCTAGAATGCGCAAAGTGGCATAATATGGTATTATCATACCTACAATGAATATTGTATTGATATACATTTTTTGATGAAATATTTATATTTACTGTATATATTTTGATTTTTGATACCTCGAAGGATTTGTTTTTGCATCACGCTGGATAGACATGGTTGTGAGCCCAGAGCCTGATACTGATATTGCTATGGAAACCGGTCAAAGTAGTTTTGACCGGTTATGAGCTTTGACTGTGACAGCTATACACCACGAGATGGTAACATTTTGTCTTGTGTTTGATGTATTTGTCGGTCGATGGAGCCTTATTCGTTGTAAGTTTGGCTATACCGTTTACCTCCGAGTTAAGATTAACTGGAAGTGGTGGTCTTGAGACATCGTGATGGCACTGCGAGGGTGCTGGTGATGCAAGTTCTGCCCCCAGAAAGTGTTTCCAATAAAACGACGCGTGAGAGGCCTCGGTTGCGTTACGAACGGATATTCCGGGACTACCTAGCCGGTAGTACATTTCCGTTATCCCCACAGCGAAAGGTACAGCGAAAGGGTTGCACTGCATGTAGGACAATAAGGCGTTTCATGGTTCGCTCTGGGCAGGGTGAACTTAGTGGCGATTAAGTTGTTACATCTGACATGCATTTGTAACTAATATTTAAAGCTATTATTAGATTTATTAATAAAATTAATTATAATTAGATATAAATATATGTGGTGGCTTATGAGAACAGCAGATGAAAGCTCTTGCCGAAAATTTCACAGTACGCGAGCAACTTAGGTTCAATCCCAGCCGGCACCAATGAAATTGTTAATTGCAATTTGAAGTGCTGATGACCAGGTGCTCGGCGGTGAAGGAAAACATCGTAGGGATACCTGCATATCTGAGGAATAAAATTATCTCCAATACCTATCCTATGAGGACCGCCATAACTCTTGAAATGCGAGGAGGTTATATCCAGCTATTGTTCGTAGATATATAGGCACACAGGTATATATAACATCCTTTTAAATCTTCCTTCCTTTCATTTCAACTTTAAACATATCCTAACTTAATAGTCTATTGTGAGTAGGTGTAGATAGTAGAAGCGGTGTAATTTGACTGAATTTGCAGCTCTCTGCGTGCGTGATGAGCTTACTGGAAAATTGCACGTGATACGGGGCGCGCCGCCGTCTGCCTCTTTCGATTTAATTCCGCGCTTGCTATCGTTCACCTATTCATCTTATATATCGCGTGAATATGTATGAGACATCGTACCGACCACTTCCTCGTCCTTGTAAAATTAATAACACTGCGGTCGTTTCGAGCACGGTTTTTCACGACCTACTGGACGGAATTTAATTAAATATGAAATATAGCCAGCTTGCATATAACGATCCAATTAACTGGGGCTACAGGAAATCATATTAATAGTTCTCGGTATAAACGGATTAAAATACTATGCACATGTTTATAATATTTTGCGTCAGACTCTATCGTTTAGGTTTCATTCCATTTTTGAATTAGGTATATAATGATATTGCTCCGTTTTACGCATTATTTTCACGGTGTTTATCATGCTTATGGTTCATATATTTTCTTTACGATGTTTTTCTTTACTGTCGCCAGAGTACAAGCGAACATGTGTCTGAGAAACATATGAGACTTCTCATGTTCATTCACTCTCACGAAGTACCTACGAAGAGACACGAAGACTAATTGTTCCATATCTTTTATTTCATGGGTTATTTAGTATTCGATTCTAATACTGGCAAGCACTTTCCGATATTGACAAGTGGTGTTAAGCGCGGTTCGTCAGCTTTAGTATGCGCCGCCGAGCAGTGCTCCGATTTTGCTCCAACCGAGGAACAATGGCCGACACATTCCATCCGCATCACCGTTAGCGGGCCGTCGGTAATCGCCGATCCGCCCTCCCCCTTCCTCAAGCGGCCCCAGATGACGTCATAAACTAAACCAATAAACATTCTAGACTTCCGCACTGTCTCGAGAAGATTGCGTTTTATCTTTCCCGTCTATTAAATATCCGTTTGCCTTTCATCATATCTTTAGCAATAAATTGTTTTAATTGTGTTTAACATTTATTATAAACTCTTAGGTACGTCTTATGACATTATCATGTGTATTTAACTGAATGAATGCATTAAAGTGTTGCTATTGACGTAGCCTATTAAATGAAATTCCGCCATTTTAGAGTGTTCTTAGTTGAAACGAGAATCGAAATCGAAGAAGCGTCAGGGCGCGGTTGGCATTAGGCCAGAGCAAACAGGGTAAAAAGCAAGGGCGGCGGCGTCGACCGCGCCCCGAAATAGCGAGCAAAGTCAAGGCGCGCGTCTACGACACAGCGCAACGGCCGTGTCCCGGCCGATGTAACTCGTGATCGCCAGCAGTAAATACCAGTACTTAGCTGGCACACCCTGGTCGGGGTGTGTCTAACCATGGCATGTAAAAATCGAGGTTTTGTACCGAAAAGTATAACTAACATGAGCGCATCGACTATTTAATATATTTGGACCGACGCGCTCACGATTCAATATAACGCAAAAAGTTCACGCGAGCCTCGTAAAACACTCTACTAATAGCCTCTGATATGTGTCATCAGTGTCATCATCACAAAAGTGCCTTCACGAGACATTTTTAATTTTTATCGGAGTGAGGGTGACGAACGAGCGCACGGTCCACAGCTGGTTAGTGAAAACTGTAGTCGATCGGCACTGCCGTCTATCCATGATTAAAAAAACGATATCATCAACGAGGACTAAGATGGAATGCCTTGTTCGCGGTCATGCTCATGTTGCATTTTGTTACAAAGGCAAATAAAATCTTACTGTGTAGTAGGATTACAATTGCATATACAGCAAAGTTTTTTACGTAGGAAATTATTAATAAACCCACACATATATCACTTTATTATACTTATCGCCTTGCGTTAGTCCTTTCCTAGAGATTGTGAAAGTTTATCATTCAATTTCCCTCCGCATTGTGCTGATAAGGCTGTGGTCACGAGTTAAATTATTCAATACAAGCAACGTTTGCTAAATACGTATTAGCATTAAGTATGATATGGTAATAATCATACAAGTACGACATGAGTTAGTAGTTATTACATCAAAACAAACTAGAGTAACGGCTCATAGCGAACGAAATATAGAAATAGAAAGGCACATCGACGTACACGCGGCGCAAATAGCACGTTGGTGACTCATGCAACAGGCTTAAGTCTGAACAAGGACATCCTCGCAGTCGGCATGTGCTGGGACAAATTGATAAATAAACATCGTTTCCCCATATCCGTCAGCTCTATTACTATTGTGCTGCAACAAGTAGAAGACATAGTATTCTTTGCGACCACTCTTCCTGCTGCTGTGGATACGACTGTTGTATTAATAAACGTAAAATGTCGTTGTGCAATAAGCAGTCTATGCGCTTTATTGTCATACCACGAACTAAACGATCCGTTTTATTGCAATAATTGCCGTGGCTAACATTTTTGACATTTTTTGTTAAGCGTGATACAACTTTTGTAAGAATGCTATTATCATATTTGTTGCTTTTTTCACACTAAAAAAACATTGTTTCAAACATAACGATGCCGAAAAAACAGATGTCAGGTAGAAAATCTGAAATGAAAATAGTTTTACCCATAGGATAGCAGCAAAAATCATCATTTAAATGTAAGCTTTTGTGCGCATCACTAATTATGTGTTTTTTTTTTGTATGCAGATGACTTGAAAGCAGTGACAAAGCGTCTGACCGAACAGGCCAAGCGGCAGGGCTCACCAGACAATATCTCAATAATTGTGGTGTTCCTAAAGGATCCGCGCGACATCGACGCCTACATCTGCCCGCCCATGGATCTTGGGTAAGCTGAAATAATAATAATAACGACAAGATCAAACATTTGAAACTGTGACTCACGACTACTCACGAGCTGACCGACATAGACGAGTTGCCTGCTGACTGAAAATCTCTGTAGTCCTTTCTGAGGCGGCTGGAACTGCTTGTTTATTATTTTCACTATAAGTATAAAAATTAGGTAGAACAAGATAATATATTAAATGTATATATTTTATTGTATATTGTGTATATTTATTTTGGGTGGTGACGTAAGAGAATTCATTACTCCATTTCGCCACGTGGTGTTGTAAGAGGCTACTATGGGAAACCTCAGAAAAAATTCACGGCTTTACCATCTTGTTTACGTCAGACAGCGGCATGATGTGAAGATGCGAGACTACGCTATTTTAACCACAGTTAGTGTCAGGTAACTACGTTCGTCCATCCGTCTGCCAAGCGGCAAATCCTACTCCAGGCAATTTTGTTATGGCTTGGACGTTTACCAGGTTGATAACAATGATAATGATGTTTTTTATTTTGTTTAATCTATATTTATGTATTTCATACATATTTCAATCAGACGAGAACACTATAAAAATATCCTATATAATATTAAGTAATAATAAATACATTGTAAGAAAAAAAAGGAAATGGTAAATACTCATGAGGACATTGCGATATTATAGTGGTCATAGTAACACTGATTAGATTTTTAATTATTATTTTTTATTACATTTATAATTTATGTTACTTTCACTATGTTAATTTTCAAATCTTGATGTATTGTGATGACTTCCACGCTACAAAACATTTTTTGCATACAAGTTGTGATCTTTTTGCGCGAATTCGCTCACATCGCATTGCAGTGATCATCCGGTGTTTGCCTCTATTTTTGTGGCAGTACCTACTTACTGTTGTTTTTTTTGCTGTTGATAATTTTGAAACTATTCTCATTCTCACTTTTCTTCGTATTAATCAACGATGATGCTTGCATACGTGCTTTTATACGTGGTAGAGCCATTCAGCAGTTATATTAGTAGTAAGTATAGTTGTAGCACGAATGGGTCGCCTCGATCGGGGAAGGACCACGCTCTCACAGAATACCACCGTGAAATAGTAGCTTAACGCTGCTGTGTTTCGTATGGTGAGTGTAGAGACCGGAGACCCTTTTCGAAACGAGGCATTTCATCTTAGTCCTCACGGGTGACAACGCATCCGCATTTTGAATTTTGATTCGTAATCGAAGATAGATGTAAATGTCTATGTGCCACAGCAACCACTTAACATCAGGTGGTCTGTGTGCTCGTTTGTCACCCTATCCTATAAAAAAAAATAAAAAAACATAGGTGTTCTTTTTTCTGAACTACACACATAACCTATGTCTCACTTAGCGATTATGGCTAGGGTTGCCATCCTAACGATATATGTAATATAGTATACTACTTACTTGAGAGTTCGGATTGTCGTAGGTTTTGTAAATTCTTAAAGCAGGAAAAATATTTCTTCACACTGATGGTGGGATTCCTTTTGACATCTTTTCTGCCGTCGAATAGCAGTGCGCGCACCTGTGTTCCGGTCTGAAGGGTTTAGAGAGGCAACATAATTACAGGCTTTGAAGCATTCCATCTTAGTCCTCAGAGGAGATTTGAAATTGGCATTATGTCTACAAGCTTACTGCTGGACGTCTTCTGCTTTATTAACCTGTAAACGTTTACTCTGGTCATATGCCTTACCTTGTGTAGTAAGACTTTGCAATAATCACCACGCTAGCAGGATTGGCGAGCGCGGTACTAAACGTCTTGCACCTTTGATAGTGCCGCCCAGTCATATTCAGAATGTGCACATCAATTTCGATATATATTTGAATAATTTATTCAGTGATAGCTTTAAGCAAAAATTTCAAAATCAATAGCATCTCTTACGCGTCTCCGAGACAAATTCGTTATCGTTCCTCGTACATTTATTTCAAATAGATTCGAACATCGTGCAGCCGTTAAACTTGTTTGCATTTATAGCAAATGACGTAATAAAAACTTGAAAATTACGTTGAAGTAGTCGACCTTGGAACCTAGTGGCCTATCTCATGCGAGTGCAAAAATGAAAGTCTCATTGTTTTCATATCAGTCCACGACATTTATCACTACGACCGCGGAGTAATAAACACGCTTGATTAATTCTAAGAACAAGTTACGAATCATGTTGCAAAGATTTCGAGTGTTGTATTGTGATAAACTACCAAATCTAAAAATAATAATAAATGTTATCAACCAAAAAGTATCAAAGAAAAATGGATACTCACAACATTCGGTTCGCTTATGTTTTTTTTTGTAGCATACGGGTGACAAACCAGCACGCAGTCCATCTGATTGTAAGTAGTTACTGTGGCCCATAGACATCTACATCTACCCTCGACTACGAATCAAAATGCAGATGCGTTGCCGCCCGTGAGGACTAAGGTGGAATACACCGCCTCCAGGAAAAAATTGGTTGACCCTGCAGGTCATCCCTGAAACTTTCCAAAAATCTCGTTTTTTATTTTATTTTTCAAATTAGATTATTTCACGAACAAATCAACCGATTCTGATGTGATTTACGGCAATCCACGCAATTTTTTCAGTTTAACAAAAAGCATGTTACAAAAGAAATGATGACACTTCTTCGAGATTTCTTTCTTTCTCGCACGAATCGGTTTTCGGCAATCGACGTTGTTTTTAGTAAAAGAGCTAATTAGACTATAGAATTGATCTAAACAAGGGTGTCGAAGTAACTCCAAAAAACTACATTTTGAATATTAAGAAACCTCGAATTTTTGAGGTTTTCTTAGAATTCAGCGAGCTAGCATTCGGTTTAAATTCACATGAAATCTAAGTTCAGCGAGGCTCTTTCAGATGTCGCAAACCGCTTTTCGATCTGAAATTCCGTAACAGTTATGGGATATTTACATGTTTACATACATACTCACACACATACATACAGACATACGGACATTATCGCAAAAGTAGCCAGATAGCTTCCTAGGACCTCGAAACGTCGCAATCTAATGAGAAATAAATTTTCAAAAACCGTGGTGAAAATGATAATTTTCCCATTTTTCGAAAAATGGAAAGTTAAAAAGGTCTCCGGTTCTCTACATTCACCATACGAAACACAGCAGCGTTAAGCTGCTGTTTTACGCTGATATTCTGTGAGAGTGTGGTCCTTCCCCGGTCGAGCCGACCCATTGCTACAACCGTTATATTGCTGCAGTGTGGCTCTACCACGTGAAGTATTTGTCTACTAGTTTACAGTAGTAGTAGGTTTACTATAAAAATAATGAAATCAACGCAAGTCAAATTAACTTGGCTAAATCTGGTGGTATTTTATATGTTTAGGATAAAAACCAAAGTGCGGATACACCTAGGCTTAGGTTACAAGAGGGTGAAGCCGTTAAAGGTTCTTTTTTTTTAATATAAAAAATACACATAACAAGTAATATCAAAGACACTATATAATTTATGTATTTTATAGGATATATAGTATACATCGAAGTTTAACCAACCGCAATCGGCTGCACTTAATATTGTGGTCGGCTAAAACACCTATAGGTGTATCGCACTGGGTTAAATATACAAATATACAAACAATACAAAAGCGATGCTTTTGCTGTTTGGAACTATGAAACCAACGCGTAACGCAATACTTGACACAATTTACTGCGCGAGTAAGCACTAAGCAACAGCTGTTCTATTGAACGTGCTCGCCCAGCGTTTAGGGAAATACGCTTCCTCTTCCGATTGACGAAAGTTGTATGGCTTTAGCACCTGGTTCAAATTTTGGTAATTTTGATTGATTGTGTTTCATTTATTAATTTACCTTATTTACCAAAGTTCATTTCATGAAACGTTTTAATTGCTTAATACTTGAACAATTATAATTAAGGTGGCAATAAGAGTATAATCCCTGTATGATTTTTCACCAAATTTTAATAACTAACTTACTGCTAACTTACAGACCAGGCGCTTTAGGTCCATTAATGTCGGAAAATAATTCAGAAACGTCGCACCCCAATGCTATGAACTGTTACACTACGCGTACCAATCCCAATGCCTAGTGTGGCGAGGATTTGACACACTTGGTAAGAAAGACATATCAAAAGGAGCTGATCTGATAGCGATTATAAATAAAAGTTTAAAATCTTAGTTGTACATAGGATTGTCCGTTCATTGATTGATTTTTAAATTTGTCGAACTCTGTTGGCTGGACGGCCTTTACTGATTTGTGGAAGAGGCTCGTGAAAGTCGGTTCGTAAACTATGTATACTTACCTACATATCATTTTCACATAATAGGCTGGACAACGCGTTGTCGAACGTTCCACCGTACGCCACTGAATCGGACGGCCGAAAGCCGGACGCCGTGGCGATGGGTGTGGACGAGTGTGACGCCGAGGCCGAGGCTGACGCTGACAACGGTGTGTCGGATAGTGACAGCGAGGACCTCGGCCCCGAGACTGCTGTGGACGCCGACGATGCAGACGCCGACGTGCGCCACCACGAGCCGGCGCCTCCGACGCCCCCCGCGCATGCCGGTAAGTCTAATTCGGTTTAATTTTTGGGATGCGCTGTATCCCACAACGGTAAGTAACCTTATAATTTCGTTATGGTCATCTTTCCTCCGTTGTCACAGTATTTTAGCTTCTAGGTTTTCAGCTTATTAGATTATATTATTCTGTTCTATAATTTTAGGATAAGAAAACATCAAAAAGTACTTTTTATGTATTTTCCCCGTGCGTGTGACGAAGAGTATTGCAAAAATTCTTCCTTTTCCATATCAAGTACAGTGGATTTCATTTATTACAACCTTGGTTTTAGAGACCATTTAACTATAGTGACGTTAAATCTAAGTCTCTTGAATTTAAAGCATACTTTAGTACAATATTCATGCGGTTATAGCGACATTGGATGTAACGCCTAGTTGGGGTATAGCGACTGTTTTTGATGAATAATTTGTAACAAATTCTTAGAAATTCCATGCAGATATTGCGACCGGAGTCGGCAGCCAAAGACACAAAGATTTATTTTTTTCACAAAAATTTCTTATCTTTTGTTTACATCTACACAGATGGTCAGCAAGTGTGGAGACCTTTACCTTTTGTTTATAGATATCAGCTAAGTAGGTAGGAGAGCGTGTACGTTTCGGAGTTAAATTTATCGTTCAGTTACGAGTATAAAGTGATATTCTGAGTAGCATTTTGAAATGTACCAGTGAATAACTATGTGTGCAAATATTTTCAATAATAAATGAATATAAACTATACATGTGTACGTGACTGTATCTCTACCTTTGCCTGTAACGACTTCCGGATATAACGACGAAAATTGAGTGGTCCCTTCGTCGTCGTTATAACCGAAATCCACTGTACATACATAATAATTGTATTTTATAATAAGTTTATTATTATTTATTACAGCCTATCGGAAGTCCACTCCTGAATATAGGCCTCCCATTGATTATCAAATAGAAGCATATTTGCCATAGTTGCCACGCTTGATAAGCGGGTGGCCAGCCAAAATTGTTCATTTTTATGCAGCTGCTGAAGCTTGTGGTTTTTGAAATGTCCAGGTGCAAAGTATCCACTGTATGTTGTGTGCGTGTGTGATGGCGCGTGCGTGCATGTGTGTGTATGTGTTTGTATGCTATTATCATTTGGAATAATGCACCCTTAATGTGAAAAAATATTCCACAAATAGCTCTTTCTCAACAGGGTTTAAACTTTAGAAAGTAATAGATATAATCTGAACTGTACGCGCAGCGCGCACTCCAACAAGCAATTGGGCAATTTTTATTTAATGACAAAAAATGATACGATAAAACATGGAATTGTATTTTATTAAAACTTTCTTGATTATTGGAAAAATGTATCAAAAATACTAATGAAATAAATAATGACAATATCTGACCGAGACGCATTGTTTGTTGTATATCTACCACACATATTATGATATATAATAAAAATATTTTTTGACCCCATAAGATACTTTTGTTTACGTGGTAAAGCCACGCTGCAGCTAAATTATGGTTGTAGCAATGGGTCGGCTCAACCGCGGTAGGACTACACTCTCACACCACCGTAAAATAGCAGCTTAAGACTGTTTCATGTGGTGAGTGTAAATAATCAGATACCCTTTTAATGAAAACGAGGCATTCCATCTTAGTCCTCAGGCACGGTAATATTATCTATACAGTATTGTAACTCGGCCGTACCTTTCAAATAAATGCCTACAGCCGTGCGGCACGTAAACATGTGATAGGGTTACCTGCCTCCAGCATTTTTACATTTGCCTACTTTGTCTTTTAGTTTTATGATTGTAAATATACTTTTTATATAAACAAATAAAATAGGTACTTTGTAAATTGAATAGGAAGTGTTCAATAAAAATGCGTGTCGTTTTTTGATTGGTAGATTTAATTAAAAAACCATGTTTATGTTTGAATAACAAATCGGTTAAATAAATTTTCGACCGAAAAATATTTGCACCTCGGCTGAGAAATTACGAAATGCTTTATTATTAGATTTTTAAATACAAAAAATCCGCTTTCCAATATAAAGCTAAAAATAATATAAATTAAAAATTGTTTTGGGAAACATGGACAACGTGGAGAAAAGGAATATCTTTTAATTGGTTATAGATACCTGCAGCTACTTTACAATTTATATGTTTGTTTTTAAATGAAGTTCAGATTTATTATTTCTTTATTTCTATTCTATTATTTGTTTCCTCCATTTTTTTTTATATATTTCACAAAATCATGACTGCGGCACAGTCTCGACTGTCTGCATGCCGAGCGCATGCCGAGATCGAGGCGCGTAGGCATAGCTCTCGCTTCGTCCGTTTGTATGAAGTTGGAATACTGTATAGATAATATTACCGTGCCTCAGGGGTGACAACGCATGTGCATTTTGATTCTTAATCGAGGATAATTGTAGATGTCTGTGGGTCACAGCTTCCATTTACCATCAGGTGGACTGTGTGCTCGTTTGTGTCCCTTATTATATAAAAAAACACTATATACCTTTGTAGTATTAGAATTCTTACAACTGTGTAAAAGTCGAGTAGAAGACCTTTAAAACTAGAACAAATCCGGATAAAAGCGAACGAATTCCGGTTTCCGGTGCTTATGATTATGATAGACCTATAAAATATCTTTGTAGACCACGATGTTAATGCTCATATTTACGTCACAGTTATATTATTCATTCTTACGATTTCTGTATATTACACCTAAATATTGTATTTTCAATATTTTTGTATTTTAAATATTCAGGAATAAAAAGATAACTCACCCTCAAATGTAAGAGCCATTCGTTAGTGTACAGACGTATTTAGGCTGTAACTATTTTCTTTAAACGGAAGGTAATGTACAATAAAATGTACTTAGGTATGAAATTGCAATTACATGTAGGAATCTTAAGGATTAAACAAAATATCAATATCTGTGCGCAATATTACATACTTTTCCAATACTAAATGATTACATACTTTTGACAATTGCTCCTTTTTGTAATGTCACTAAGTATGGAGTGGAGTGTAGACACTCCATGCCACTAAACTTGTGCTAATAATAAAGTCCTCATCAGCGAGGAACGTGCATCATAGCGCGTAGCACCTACTACCTACCTTACGTAGCTATATTAAAGTAGAAACATAGTAGAGCTAGTATATTAAATTGTAATATTATTTGCGATTTTGTAACCTTAAAACCTATCGTAAAGAAACATTGAAAAAATTCCCAAAGTTTATATTATAATGATCCTGTAATTATAATCAAATTCAGCCGAATAAACAAAACATAGAATAAAGCGCCGATTAGACTATACGATAAATAGGGCACTAAGTCAGGGCCCCAGTACGTAGTACTATTATTTATTCTGTGACCCTAGTTAGGGCGGCAGTAAGGTCGTTCTGCTTACACTGCACTATATATGAACCCACATTCATCGGTGATCGAACGGTGATTTCATAATATCAGATATTATAACATTACATACCCTAGCCGTAACAGCTGGCATAAATGTGAATAGAATTCCTCACCTTGGCGGGACTAATAACCAAAAGAATGTGGCAACTGTGTTACCAACCAACTTTGTAGTGTAACCTTCAGGATCCTGAATTAAGGAGATCGGAATAGAAGTTTCAGCCTATACGCGTCCCACTGCTGGGCACATGCCTCCCCTCACTTCTAAGAGAGTTTTAGAGCAAAGAAACAACGCAAGTTTCCTTACGATGTTTTTCATTACCAGTGAGCACGTGGTAAATCAGCACTTATTGATAGTTTGATAGGTAGGTCTGGCGGTAGGTAGATACTGTAAATTTCACAGAGCCTTTAGTGTCCCTGAGCTACCATGACTTCAAGATAAATTTTAAATGAAATATCAAACATATAAATCAAATATATAAATGTAGATATATTTTACAATATAGGGATAAATATTTTAAATATTATATAATTAATGAATATCGTAATACATAGCAAATCTAGTTCTTTTTTTTACATAGGTACACAGGCAAAATATTTTTCTGAAATGACCATTGCATATTTCTTTGATGTAGTGTTTTCCTAGACGGGTAGAATATTGATGTAACAATATGAATTTATAAACATGTAACTATCCAGTAAAATTATTAAAATTTAAGTGACATAGTATCCCTGTTCCTTGTGAATGCATGCCCATTGTGCCCATTGCCCACACTCCCCGCGCACCGCGAACTGCTGCCCTCACTTCTCCGTTTCTCCCGTCCCGCCCGTCTCTCTCGCAGTCGCTCATTGGACGTACGTTGGATCTGTGCTATTCTGTATCGCTGCGCAATTGTGAATTGTGACCGGCTCATTTGTCTACAACGTCTCGTATAGTATTCCACCAGTTGTAAAGATAACAGTTTGTGCATTTAATTTTTAAGTTAAGGTATGTGAAATAGCGAATATTATTTATTATTCTCACATACCAAACAGTTTGTGAAAGGTTATTTCTGTGTTGATTCATGCGGAGCGGCGGCGTTCTGGAAATAGATCGTTCGCCCGAAGGCGCATCCCTCCTTGGTCGACTTGTAAAGGATTTCCGAAGGGGCCGCATGTTTAATTGCGTATTTTCGACACGTAAAGTAAGACATTTGAGAATACCGGGTGTGTCTCTTAACAGGCCTCGAAATGGCGTCCGCGAAATATTTGTTAGTTTGAACCAGCGACCGGTACTATTGTGTAAGCACGCGGTTTTTTTATGTTCCTGCGAGGTATCTAAAAATCTAAGTGGGTTACAATCGAACATATTATCTCACACAAATGACACAATTTAAAATCGTCAATCAATTCAGTGTTGTTTAACTTTAGTTTTTGTTCAAGTAAGGGTGTGTCACCTGTTGATAGCTAGAGGCTGATTGTGAATGTTGCGTGGTCGCCAGGTGCAATTCGATTGGTGTTAAAGTTATGTTTTATTTTGGTACGCAGTGGAGGAAGGCCACGTCGACGGCGTCTTAGTGGATAATGTAGCTGAGAGCGGCGAAGACTCTGAGGACGAGTGGAACTATTATAAGGGCGAAGGCGAACTAGAACGCAACGAAAACAACCCTAGCGAGGAGGTTGACGAGCCACCTCGCTCTGACACACCTTGTCAAGACAACGTGAGTAAATAATTATCGGCAATTGAACATTTGTAAAGTTTGTAATGTAGCTGCTGGCTGTTTCTAATTTTTTGTTAAACATGAAGTGTAGCATTTGGTAATTAAAAACAATATTTCTTTTGAGTTTATTCCTAATTTATTCTTCTGATGTGACATAAGACGAACCTTGTGTCTTGATTTTCAACCGACTTCAAAAAAGAGGAGGTTCTCAATTCGCATATTTTTATAATGTGTTACTTATACCTCAGAACTTTTTCTAGGTGAACCCATTTTGATGATTCTTTTTTTTTAAACCTGGTACTTCTCATGTGGTCTCAAATTTGATCAATATCTGACCAATAGTTTTTGAGTTATCCATAAAATCCGTATTTAATTGACTTGAACTACCTACATTGATGATGTTCTCATTTTATTTATATTGGAGTTTGTTGTACAACATTTTTAATTTTACCACTTGTGATCTATTATTCCAATGAAAACGAATAAAAATGACGAAAAATCTTTATATTTTGTAAATGTTTAAATTCATTGTTTAAAATAGCAATAGACATTTGTATTTTTCAAATTTCAGTCCGCGTCTGAAAGTAGTTCAGTAGACATGAATAGTTCACCACTAAACCCAGACGCCCCAGTCTTTGTGCCTGGGGTAGTAGCAGGGTCTGATGTGTTGCTGGCAGAGTCACCACGCAAACCACAGCCAATGGATGACATTGAGCTGCCTGATGTTGCTCAGTTCCAGACTGAAGCAGTCATCAGGCCTGCTGAGTTACTAGACTTAGACAATTCAGATCATCTTAATGGTCATCATGTGAGTATTTTATTATATTTCACTTTATAAAATAAGTATCACATGGAATTGACTCTGCAAACTTAACCTGCATCTTCACTGATGCTGTAAACATGTTCACTATAACTTAAACACATAATTAAGATTTAATAAGTGGTGTTGTAGATATCATTACTGAATCTTATTAGTTTTAAAAGCAACAATACTGGTAAAGTACATAAAAAATATATTTATTTACAATGTATGTCTATACATTTTAATACTTTTAGCACCTACCAACTATTACATGAATAATTCTCCCAAGGTTGACTCTTAGAGAATGCCATAAGGCATTAAGTTCGTCTATTGTAACCCTTAAATTATGGTGTAACACAATACAGATTAAATAAGTAAATGCTGCTTGCAAAAAAATATTATTCATCTGTATACAACATTGCTCAGATTACTTTGCTGTTACAATACAATACAATATTGTTTCATTACAACATTGTTGATATAGGTATGCCCAATTATTGGAAAGTAGGTAGTAAGTAAGTAGGTAATATATAATGTAGCTAATTTATTATACTTGGAATGAAAGAAAGAGTAAACATCTTTATTTGAAGCTTCATATAATTGCAGAACATGCATATTTTTTCACTCTAGATATTTTAATGTATATGTAGTTAAAGATCCTGTGAGTCACTGTAAGTTTACATACATATTGATGGCCCATAAAAACCTTTGTCAAGAAGCACCAAGAAAACTCAAGAAATGTAAAAATTACTAGTTCACTGATGTTTTGTTCTTGCACTTGCTTGTTCTCAAAGTCATGTCAGTTTTTTAGCCTACTTCAAATGGGATTGGGATGAGGCAAGAGAATCCTATTTCCTTGTTTGGTCTCAGTGTGATAAAATCAGATGTAAGAAATAAAATTACTAACCTGTGTCTGTTTTGATAAATTTGCATCAGCTACTATTGTATTTTTCTTATTCCAATTTAATTTTTGGTTTTAACTAAACTTGTGACAAATAGTATATTCGGGCACACCCTGCATACCGTATATTCTGTAGGCTTCCTGGTCAACATTATGCATTAACAAATGGATTGTCTGGATCCAAGTGATGAACTTTGTTATGGATGTATCTGTGTTTAAAAAAAAAACAAATTGACATATTTACGTATGCAATTTTTTGTTTACGTTATATGCAATTTTTAGTGAAATTTATTTTTACGTAAGTAACTCAAAAAGCATTTCCGAAATTCAAAAACAATTTAAAAGGTTCAAGCTTAACCCTGACAAACCTCTTAAATTTAAAACAAAATTAAAAAATTTGGTACCAAACGTCTACTTTTTTTAGTGAAATTTATTTTTATCGTATTTAATTCAAGAGTCATTTCCGACATCTAAAAACAGTGTATTAGATTCAAGCTTAACCCTAGCCTCCTAACTTAACTGGGGAAAACTACTTAAATGATTAGAATAAAAATATTATATCAATGTTATATTAAGTCAATGTTTTCATTTTACCAATTATATGACTACAACATAGATTTAGTATACAGTATGGATAGGAAAAAAGAAACTTTATTTAAGTCTGGTTTTAACATTTTTGGGTTTATAATTTGTTAATACATATAAAGCTCTACAGCTGTTGCCCTGTAAATGTCATCTATAAGTGATACAAATGAAAACATTTTGTTAGTGCACATTGAATCTTCTCTTCATGTGTCTGGTTAACCTATGCCTATAACTTTTCTATGTCTATGAGCATGTTTTGTACTTTTGTAAAAATTTTAAAGATTTTGAAAAACGTAACTTGCTCAGTAAGACTGCGGGAATTTAAAGGGATATTCTTAAAGTTAGAGAACTTAGGAGTTATTTACCAAATCTATGAAATAAATTTCCTGATAATACACTCACCGGCACGGAAACTTGGCCACTCGTGAATTTGCTGATTATTTGCACTGAAACGTGTTTTTAACAGTAAATTAAGGGTAGATGCATTCAATAAGTGTCTCTAATGGTTTTAGAACATAGAAATTTAATGTTTACTTCACCGAAATTTTTCTTTTCAAGATAACATGTTTTCACTAAAATTAACATCTTTCCATTGTCACTTTAAAAACACTACAAAGTTAAAAATTAAGTCTGTTTCTTTATTGTCTATCAGTTTTAATATCGGGTGTTTCCTCCTCTAGCCCTGATAACCGCTTGCATTCGATCTGGCATGCTTTGAATGATGTTTCTGACATCAACTTGCGGTATGCTGTCCCAAGCGGCCAGCGCTGCATTTCGGAGCTCATTTAGAGTTTGTGGCGGTTTGAAGCTGGACTTTATCTTTCTTTTGAGCATACCCCATACATGCTCAATTGGATTTAAGTCCGGGCTACGAGCTGGCCACTGTAATTTTTGTATTCCAACCTCTTCCAGATATTCCTCTACACAATGTGCGACGTGCGGGCGTGCATTATCGTGCATGAGGAGGAATTGGTCGTGTCCAATGAATCCCGAATAAGGCATTACATGCTCCTGAAGAACTTCCTCGATGTATCGAGTAGCTGTAAGCCGATTATCGACGATGACCAACTCTGTACGTGCGTCGGAACTTACACCTCCCCATACCATTATTGAGCCTCCATGGAAACTCAAAGTTTGGGTGGTGGTAATGGGTAGAAACCTCTCTCCTCTTTTTCTCCACACTCGTTCTCGACCGTCTGGAGCACGTAAAGCTGTTCGACACTCATCTGTGAACAACACTCTAGCCCATTGCTCGTGGGTCCAATTGACATGTTCTCTTGCGAACTGAAGTCGGGCTACTCGGTGCTGTCTGAGAAGTTCTGGACCTCGTGCTGGTCTACGAGCTTTTAAATTCACTTCCTCCATTCCTCTTCTCACCGTACGCTCACTAACATTAACGCCTCTTGCGATTTGGAGCCGCTGGCGTATCTCAACAGCGGTCAGGTAGCGGTTTCTCAAAATCTCCATAACAATAAAACGATCGTCCCGGGCCGATGTGCACCTTACGCCCCCACTGCCTGGCCTGCGGGTGTAGCGGCCTGTCTCCTGGTATCGTTTCAGTGAATACTGCATTGAGGACCGTGGTACGTTAAGCACAATAGCAACTTCACGCTGTGTCAGCCCTTGGTCAATTAATGCTACTGCTTGTGCAACTTGTGCTGGTGTTAATGGCATTTTTATTGGCTTTAAAGCACCTTTAGTTATTTAATTAAGACACAAGATCACAATAATTGAATAACCTTACAGTAAACTTTTCACAACACACAAATTTAAAATGTGAACTTAGTCGCTCAAATGACCCGATTCAACTAAAAATTAAAGAATTCGTCATGGTGCACTTAAACATAATGAATTACCCTCTTGAACTTGAGGATAAACATTTTTTGACATACTTGCATAACAAACATTCATCAGAAACACTTAAAGCTTTTGCTATCGCGAGATAACCGCTTGGCCAAGTTTCCGTGCCCGTGAGTGTATTATTCAACAACCTAAAGAGAAATTTTAAACAGTATCAGTGGTGGCATATGTAAGGCCTATTATAAAATTGCAATTTCTGGTAGGATAAACATGTATGAAAATTCTGCTCTAGTAATTGATTAGCACAATATAATGTTCTCCAAATTGAATATCAGTCATGGCGGCCAGTCTTAACGGGTGCTAGTTATTTGCACTGGACAGAATTATAGTGCCTAAGTGTATATGCAAGAACAAGTGCACCTTATTCCCTCACTTCATAGTCCAATAGAATGGTTATCTGATATGTCCGGAGAGAGATCAAGAGCAGGACCAACAGCTTTTTGTGCTTTCCATGGTACAGGGAAGATAAACTAACACACAAAAACTTCTTGCTGCTACTAAGAATTTCTAGACAGAAAACTCAACTGATTTTGGCCTTACCTGAGATTTGAAGCAAGGAAAATTCTTGTTACATGGCTTAAAAATATTTACTTTTAAACAAGGTTTTTACGTCTTAGATCCAGCTGTATTATATGATTATAGGTAGCTTGAATGAATTGGCTTAACCAAGAAAGGAATACACTTACAGAATATCAGTGTATAATAGCAACTTAATGCTGCTGTATTTCATATGTCTCGAGAACTGGAGGCACAAACAAAGCATTCCATATTAGACAATGTATCTATATTTTGATTCTTAATTGAGGACAGATGTTGATTTCTATGGGTTACAGCATCCACTTACTATCAGTTAGGCTGTGACCTTGTTTGTCACCCTCATTCAATAAAAAATGTAACATTGCATAAGTCAATTTTTCTATGCCTATATGTTATGACTATATGTTCAATATAGTCTCCTACTGCATGTCACATCAGTTTGTCTTTCGTCCTCCTAGTGTGAAATCAACCCACACAATGATTGCTAACACACACACTGAAACAATGTCAAATGTTTTGGATGTTTGTGAATCCATCACCACATTTTGTTTGTCCTAAAAATAACTAAGGGAAGTGTAAGGATAACCTGATAGTTTGTTAAGGAAAATGGAATCTTTAATATGCTCGACATAAAAGATCTTGATTGTTGACTGTGAGTAATATCAAAGCTGCAATACCCATCTCAGTTGAGTAATGTTTGTTCGGGTAATTATTTATTGACCAACTTATTGGCATTTAAAGTGTGGTAGAATAAAATATAGACAATGATAGAAAGAGCCTTTCTACTCCATGCATATACTAATAATATGTTACTGTTATCATTAATGAAAATATATTTTAAAATAAAATTTTGATGTTTCAGAATGTTTCAATGGACAGCACAACTGAACCACTAAATGGAAATAATAAATGCAATATGGACAGTCTAGGATTTGGGTTTAATGTAGATGTTGAAACTGATAAGAATAAAGATACTGGTCTTATACAAGAATTAGAAAGAATACAAAAGGATACAACAGATTATTGTGATATACAGGTATGTTTAGGTTTACTTATTATAATTTATGGAACAGAAAAGCTGTCTTTAAACTCATTCTAATGATGAAATATGAGTACAGCAACATTCCACAAGGTGTATTACAGACTGATAACGCTGAATCTTACAAGTTACTTTTTGAACAAATTCCAGAAATATCAAAGGGAAAGAGTTCATTTTCACACTACAAGAAATGTATTATAATTTATATAACTGGAAAGCTGAGAAGCGGGATAATCAGAAACTGTCAATTTAGTTTAATATAGATATCACTAAATATTTGTTGAAAACTTATTTCCTTCTCAGATGTATTGACAAAATAAAAGTGCATATTTCAATTCATATATCTCAATTGTTATAAGGCAATTGAAAGAGTCATCTTATTTTAAGTTTGGAGAAATTTAAAAAAAGTTATGTTGACTAACTCCTCTTTTTTCCCCCGCATATTCTCTTGCAACTATACTAGCAAACTAGGTAAAATACACTGTATTCTTTTAAAAAATTGAAAACATAATTTTTTTTGCAGTACCTTTGAATTTTTCGTATTCTTGTTCATTAAGTAAAAGATTCTTTAAAATCCTTGTTTCAATTACAGGTGTTTCAAGCACATACTGAAACAAATCCATTTGATGATAGAGATGATGAACTGTTTGAAAGACTTAAAAATAAGGAAAGAGATCCTATGAGTATGAGTTTTTATCAGGAAAAAGATGATGATACTTGTGAAAGATTTGCTAAAAGTGAAGGTCATGTTGATCTTAATGCTGTCCAACTTTTACCTGATAGTGATGATGAAGATATACAGACAAATGGAGCTTGTGATAACTTAAATGAAGATGATAAGGAAAATGTTTCTCCAGAAAATAGGATTGGTTTATTAGAAACTGAAAATGTTGAAGAACCAAACAATGATATTGTAAAGTTTGATGATCGGACAGACGTTGCTGTCAGCAATGTTACAAATTTAGATAACTTCATGGATTACAATATTAACAATGCAAACAATATGCAGACTTATTCTAATGCTGAATATGATTGCAACAACATTCCACAAAATGTATTACAGACTGATACCCCTGAATCTCACAAGTTACTTTTTGAACAAATTCCCGAAATACCAGATGGAAAGAGTTCAGAACTAGGTTTTACAAATGAGGATTTACAAGATCATTCAGAAAGTGAGAGGGAAGTTAGAGTTATTACACCACAAGATGAAATATCTCAAGATATTGGTTTAGAAAGTAAATTCGAAGAGTCACCACTAGAGGACATAAAACCAGAATTTATTTCGAATGATAAAGTAAATGATATTCATCTTGAAAGTGACCACCAGCCAGAAGAAAGTAAAAATGAGCATGCTCCAGAAATAACTAATCAGTTTGATTCAGCTGAAGATCGAGCTTCATTATCAAACTCTGCAATTATTGATCAGACAGAGGTGATTATGCATCAAGTACCAGTGGACACTGAAGAAAATGTTCGAAATGAGGTTACTGAACAAATTAATCAAAAACCTGACATTGTAAACAATATGAACAATGATATTCCTCATGAAATTGAAGGTTCAAACTCTGATTTAATATTAACAGATAATTCTATAGACACACCCGAAATTCGATTTGACACAGACTTTGTATCAACACAAATTCAAGACAGCATTGTTTCAAAAACGCCATTACCATGTGAATCTCCAGCAGCATCACTTCATAGCGAATCTCCATTACCAGTTGAGCAAGACGAAATCTCGGTATCGTTGGCTGTAGAAGGCAAATCTCCTATTCCTGCAAGTGAATTTGAAAATAACTTAAAATCGACTTCACCACTACCAGCAATCTCACCCATTCCAACAGACTCGATCTTTGAACCAACATCACCAGTACCAAATGAAGACAGTTCTGTAGCTCCTTTACCTGCTGAGGTACCGCTTCCAAGAGAATCACCTGCGCCTTCTGATTCGTCATTACCTCACGAAACTCCTTGTATGGAAGAGGATCTACATGCCGATTCTTCTCTACCAAGTAACTCACCTCTTCCAACAGAATCAGTATTAGTTACAGAATCTACATTACCAGTTAAATCTCCAGTGCCTGTTGATAATTTAGCGCCTAGTGACACTGACATAAATGTTGAACCCTCATCTCTTGCAGCTTCTTCACCCTTGCCCACTGAGGACTCATTATTGCGAGAATCACCTTCACCTATTGAGCCATCTGTTCAAAAAGAATTGTTGGCCTTTGAACAAGCTGTTCAGAGTGAATCACCTCAACCTACAGATAATATTATAGTAGAAAATGAAATTATTCCTAATACCACAGAACAATTTGCTACAATGGAATCATTTGAATATCATAAAGAATTTGAACACAAAGAATCACCTGTGCCCAGTGAAGTATCGGAACCTAAGGAATCGCCTTTGCCTACTGATCAAGTGATTTCTGAATCACCTTTGCCTGCTGAACATCTTTCTCCAAAAGTTTCGCCAATACCAACCGAATGCAGTGAACCGACCCTACCAGTAGATGACATTCAGGTAGCAGGGTCACCTTTGCCTCATGAAGTTTTACCAGAACATGTATCGCCTGTTCCAGAATCATTACAACGGATAGAATCTACATTATCAGAAGCACCTGAAGCTGATGAAGCTACTTTATTAACACAAACACCATCACAATACGAATCTACTTTATTAACACAAACACCATTACAATATGAATCTATTCCACAAGTGGAATCAGCTCAAACTCTTGAACCATCACATCAAATAGCATCTCCAATATCATCGCCTGTTCCAACTGAAATAGTAACAATCACAGAAACCATAGAATCAACATCTACCGCTCCCGCTGTTTCCCCTGTACCTGCAAAATCTCCTGTGGCTTCAACGACTCTTTCCATAGAAGATATTCGGCAATCGGACATAGCAGAAAAAGTAGCCGATATGCCAAATGAATTAAGACTGACGACCGAAGAACCCCAAGAGATCACCTCTGTTGCAGCGGAATCTGCTGTCGCACCACAAACAGAGGCATTAGTCACTGAATCTACTGCGGGACCCACACCAGATATTGTACCTGATGAGCGTGTAGATTTACAACAAACGCGGATTGAACTCGTGACCGATATCGAGATTGGCATACCTGAGTCGCGGGCGCAAGAAATCTGCGTTCCAGTTACTAGTGAGATTCAACAGGATGACGTCGTGCAACCGAGTGCAGCGACTCCACCTCCAACTCCTGCTGTAGAGCCTCAGCAAGTTGTGCCCGCTTCCTTGGATATTCCTCCACTCAGTGAAACGCCAATTGCCGCTGACACGAGCACAATTGCGGCGGCTGCGGCGGCCACTGCGGGAGTGGCAGCCGTCGCCGCAGTCACGGCAGCCAAAGCGAAGCCGAAGACACCTCTCACGAAAAAATCTCCGACTACACCCACTGCGAAAGCGCCGAAGTCAACGCCGAAACCGCCAACTCCACGTACCCCGGCATCTGCCACAAAGAAGCCTGCAACTGCATCGGCATCGCCAGCATCGCGGCCTCTCTCGGCCTCTAAAGCGGCGGTCGCAAGAACTTCGTTAACAGCTAAACCTCCGACACCTTCCACCAAGGTCACCAGCAAACCGAGCGCGCCTTCTAGAACGACTTCAGCGTCAAAACCGGCAGTGAAGACTGTGCCGGCACCCGCAAAAGAAGTTCCCGTGAAGGAGACACCCGTAGTCTCCAAAGCCGCGCCGACTACTCGAACGGTGGCCCGTGCGCCAAACAAGCCACCGAGCTCCAAACCCGCTCCTTCCACAACTAAAACGACAACAAAGCCGGCCACGGCCGCCGCGCCGCGCCCCATTACACGACCTGCCGCAAGACCCGCTTCGGCCGCCGCTGTGACTGCCGCGGCTGCCACCGCCGCTACCACTGCCACCACTGTCACAGCCGCCGCGAAGCTAAAGGAGACGAAGCCGAAGGCCCCCGAGAAGAAACCCCTCGTGAATGGCGATGTGAAGACAGCGAAGCCAGCGCCAAAACCGGCTCCGATCACACGACCCGCGCCGCGCCCCGCTCCCCGCGCCGCCCCTCCCGCCACCACAGCACCCGCTAAGTAAGTTACAAGAATACTGAATGATTTTGTGTGTAGTATGTTTTTAGCAGTGTTATGCGGCATGAAAGAAATTAAAAGTAAAATTAAAAAAATATTCACCGAATGAACTTCGCGTGCACAGTCCATATCGTAGACAGAGAAACCTATAGACTAATGATTAGCGTGGCCTCTAGTGAAAAAGGACGATAACGTAGTTTTAGGTTATACAATAATCTTTATGACTTTTAAACATATTTAGATAAAGTTTTTAAATGTTCTAAGAACTGAACTGAACAAGATTCACCACCAATCTTAAGCTCACAAAATACTTTTTTCTCACTTAAACCAACTTGTAAACTCCTTAGATCGCTACGAACTATCAAAGTTGTTTAGCAAAGTGTAGTTTGCTAAATAAAAAAACCGGCATGGAGAAAGGGACATACAATCACACCGCTCTGTCTCATTTCTGTGCAAAACGTATGCATAAATCTATCTTTTTCGTGGCGAATGCGAAAGAAGGCGTCAATTTGTCTATAGGTTTCTCTGTCAACGGTCCATATGCATTATTCCTTATGTTGTTTGGGTGCAGTGGTAGTATTTTACGCAAGCAACCCGGGTTCACCGCCGGCACTGATGAAATTACAATTTCAAGTGCTGATTTACCGCGTACTCGGAGGTAGAAGAAAATACGAAGGAAATTTAGAGACTATATTATGTATTATAATTTGCAACAAGATTTGTGGAAATTATCAGAAAACTATTTCTTTGTAGCCATTGAGCTTAAATTATACAGTAGTGGTGTACATATATAGAGGGTCGTAATTACAGGTGGCTATGATAGTGTTTTCTGGCACAAAAGGCAGTTTCAGTAGTAAACTAAGAGCTGTTAAATGGGCTATGCAATGTTGAGAGGAAATCCATCCCCAAACGGTAGGATGTTTGTAGGCTTTTACTTTATTTAAATTTAAATAAAAATAAAGTGGTCAAATTTGTGGTCTTAATCACAAAATTATGTTAATAAGAGTAGTGCTTATAATATAATGTCAGTATTGCTGATATATATTTTGTCATTGTTATTGACTAATGTGAGATTTTTACTAGGCCCGCTGTTCCACGTGCGGCGGCTCGAACTCCTTTGGACAAGCAAAGCAAAGACCTCGCTAACAAGCGCATCACTGCCAAAACCGCACCTTCGAGGACTGCTCCCATCAAGGTACTACACTAATTACTAACAACCCAATCTATCTTTTCATCTGCTGTCCTTTGTTGTTTTATTAAGCCGTGCTGTGACGGCACAGGTGAATCAATCACTGCATCTCATCATTGATGTTTGTTGTAAGAGGTGATTCAGTGAAAAGCTTGAAAGATCATTATTATATACAAAATATTATAATTATCTTTATTATATGCAGAATATGCAAAATAGATTTAAAATGTATAAAATCCGGAAATTCCGACGTAATTTTACATCTAAAAGCATAGCGATTTCCATCTAATAAAGGCATAGCAATTTCCATACAAAATTTGACCTGGAATTTATGAATGATAATAACCCCTGGGAATGAAGTGATTGCTGCCAAGCTATTTCTAATTTGTTTTGTTTTGATTAATTGTGTAACATACATGATAGTAAGCTGTTATTGTTTTTAACCGCTCAATCCCCTGGCTTTCTCATGAGACCGCACCCACCCACAGCAATATAACCTATAAAATTTTACTTTTAAAGACTACTTTTCTATGAAGAAGTTTGGCATTATAGAATCAATGCGTGCGTTTGGCAGAAAAAAGCGCTAGCAAGCGCTTGTAAGCAAAATAGCGATCGTAAGCGGTAAGCGCTGTCAAATCGTAAGTAGCTATTTTCCTCCAGGACACGATGTTAGTTTTAACCGGGAACCTAACCTAATTTAAATATATGTTTGTAAAGTATTCATATTAAAAACTTACCAATCATGAATTTTTAATAACATGTATATGTCTATTCATGTCATTATATTACTTAAAACTAATTTTACACAAAACAACTTTAAACTCTACTTCAAAATAAACAAATTAAATAAGCAAAATGGCGGATTGTGTCAGCGCTACTGAAGTAGCAATCGTGTCCTGGCCGAAAACTATTTTAGCGCTTGTAAGCGCTTGCTAGCGCTTTTTTCTGCCAAACGCACCCAATATGAAATTTTCTATCCTCTAGTTGAATAAAAATACAATTAGTCTATAGGTATTAATTTATAATCTACATTTAAAGTGCGTCATAGTCGAGTGTTCGTTGTTGTACATTGTTGCGTTGATTTTTGGATTTTTCTAAGTTACAAACAGTTTTTAATGCTATAAAAAAGTTTCTGTGTGAATATAATTTAACTTTTTACGTAAATAATTTCGAGTAATATACAGAAATAATAGTAATTTTCACGCTACCGACATCCGCTTGGTATGTAGTTATCAAAATACAATAAAGTATTTTTGTAATGATTAATCCATTGAATAACTGACTTTTTTAACTATAGGATAGAGAATTTTGTATAGATTCTATTATGCCAAACTTCTTTACAGAAAAGTAGTCTGTAAATATAAGTTTTTATGGCATGCGTCCGTCAAATCCCGAGCGGTCGCGTGCCGCTCGGGATTTGTGCTTTGGGTGATTTGTGCACCCACAGCACTTTAAACCATTAAAACTTATATTTATAGACTACTTTTCTTTAAAGAAGTTTGTTTGGCATTATAGAATTTATACAAAATTCTCTATTCTATAGTTCAAACAAAAGTCAAGTTACTCTGTGAATTTTTATTTTTAATCTACCGTAAAATTGCGCAATTTTCGTATGGTCGGTAAATGTCGTAAATTGTCAGGAGAATAAAAATAAAATACATAGAGTAACTGACTTTTGTTTAGACCACAGGATATAGAATTTTGTATAGATTCTATAATGCCAAACTTATTTATAGAAAAGTAGACTATAAATATAAGTTTTAATGGTTTAAAATGCTGTGGGTAGGTGCGGTGCATTCGCATGCGTCCGTCAAATCCCGAGCGGTCGCATGCGAATGCATGGAAATTTTAAGGGAATTGAGGGGTTAAAAAAAGTACTGCTGGGTTTCTTGCTGGTAATTAAACGAAAAAGAGTGACTTTCAATAAATATGATTTATATTGAATAAAAAAGTTTCTGTTTCCCCCGAGTATTTGGAAACAGAAAATATTTGGCAACCATTTAAAAATAGATATGTTAATAACAATCGCCCAATAACTATATTATCCTTTAATGACAAAATAGTTGTAAGTATATTGGTATTTAATTTTCTTAGAAAAAATAATTGTTTACATATGAAACACTATGGATTCTAAAAAGACCGAAGTACTTCTCAATTATTAGGAAAAATTATTATGGTTCATAAAAGATAGCTTGATCTCTGCGACAGCTGTCAGTAAAAATCACGCCTATGAAGTCCTGAATTTCTTAGTAGTACAGACAGTACCTGTCAATGTCATGCTTTATGGGCATGCACTATAATTAGTATACATAAAGTATGACATTGACAGGTACTGTCTTTACTACTAAGAAATTCAGGACTTCATAGGCGTGATTTTTACTGACAGCTGTCGCAGAGATCAAGCTATCTTTTATGAACTATAATGAATTAAACAGTGAACAGGTGCTTGATATTTTTATTGACTTTTCAAGTGCTTTGAAACTTATGATTATATACATACTGAGAGTGAAACTAAAAGTCATACGGGTGTTTGTTACATTGAATAATTAACTATCATAAAAATAGATACACAATAGTTTGGCTGGAGAGCAGAGTGATAGGATTTTAGCAAAAGAGGGTACGGTTCGGGTTCGTTGTTTGTGCCAACAGAGTCCCATTTTATACCACCGGTAGACCGCTGCATTAATTTGTCGATAGAACATGCTCAGTCGCTTTTACATAAAAATATCCTGGGGGAACAAAAAGGAATGCAGCATCAATTTTGTAAATGTGCTATGTAATGATAATATATTAATTTAGTCATCCATGCTAGCTAAAAAAAAAACAAAATTATTCCATAATTACTCTCATATGAACACATTTATGTTTTAACACATGAACAAACTTGTCAACTCATACAACCTCCTCAGTGTGTCTGTAACACAATGACATAATATTATTATCTGTATCTATGAGTCAATATATAGACAAATTTAATTTAAAACTACGTGTGGAACATGTTTGTAGTAAACTTGCGTGCTAAATTTGTTAACATTAAAATATAAAATTTCTTATAAAATGCTATCGTTTATGTACCTGTCATTAGCACATCGCCATATTTTAATTAATTTGTCTGTCATATTTTAATTATTTTGGATTAAGTAGTTTAAACATTTAAGACTCCTATTGATAATATCTACGAATTACTAAATATCGATATTGAAAACAATTATTAACACAAAAAGAGGAATAAAAACATAAAGATGATTTTTACTCTGCGGTTAAAAAGTTCGCAAAATGAAATAGAAGGGGGGTGAAATTAAACATGAAATTATTTTTCCTTTTTGGTATATTCTCTATTAACCTTCGAAAAATAATGTTTTGTCAAGGCCCTCAAAAAAGGCAGAAATTGCTGACTTCACTTCTAGTAATAATCCGTAGGGGCCCAATCTGGACTATAGGAAAGGTGAGCGTCCAAGCCGCACTTGTGTAAGAAAGCTATCGCAACATTACTTGTGAATGGGTGTGTTGTGCAAAAAGAGCGCACAGTGCGAGACCATTTTCCCCTTTTTTTTCTTGTATGTCATCTTTTAATTTTTTTGTTAGCATAGTATAATACTGTCGTGATATTGACACCTTTAACTTTATGATCGTTTAATAAAATCCCCTCTGAATCCCAAAGAATTGAAGTCATAATCTTTCCAGCTGATTGTAACACCTTGAACTTTTTAGGCAGTGCTGCGTCTTTTTATGTCACTGCATGGACTCCAGTTTTGACTCGGGTTCATAGCGATGAATCGAAGTTTCACCCCCAGTTACAATTGGGTTCATAATGTCGTCCCTACTCTCATTACATAGGTCCAAAAACTCGCGCGAACACTCGACACGCTGCTGTTTCTGAAGCGGTGTGAACACTTGGTACCCATCTTGCACTGACCTTAGACATGCCACGATGGTCATGGAAAATGTTATGTATAATCCAGTTACTGCGATCTGTCTTTTCTTCAGACGAGCATCTATATATATTTTTTACGTGTTAGAGCCATGCTGTAGTATATTATGGCTCGACCGGGGAGGACCACGCTCTCACAGAATACCAGCGTAAAATAGCAGTTTAATACAGCTGTTTTTCGTATGGTGAGTGTAGAGAACCGGCGACTCGTTTTACTGGAATTGAGGCATTCCATTTTAGTCCTCAAGTGTGACAACGCATCTGCATTTTGATTCTTAATCGAGTTGAAATGTAGATGTCTATGGGCCACAGTATCCACTTACCATCAGGTGGACTGTGTGCTCGTTTGTCACCCTTATTGTATATAAAAGAACTACAATATCAAGTTTTTCAAGTTCTTTAACAATGACTGAGGAAGTTGCCTCAATGTGCCTGAGTACTGATCGTCTTCAATCGAGACTTGCTTGAAAAGACTATGCCCACTATAAATCATCCTTTTTCCAGTGCAAGGGTCTCCGTAAACAGATGACATCTCTTCTATAAATTATTATATAACATATCAATGTGGCGTTTTTCCTTGCTTAGCGAAGAACTTAATATCACGGCAAGAAACTCAATTTTCTCCAGAGTTAGTGTTCACTTCCTGTTTGAGTTGTTTATCCCTGTGTTGTCTCAAAGGTTAATGAACCGATATAGCTAAAACTTGCTGTTTATAGTTGTATTGAGTCAACAAGTAGTAAAAGTTAAAAAAATCTCTCCTCCCCTCTAACCCTTCCATTCTGAGAACTTTTTGACTCACCCTCGTTAAATATTGAATAATAAATTTAAGTTGCTTAAAAATATTTTTTTGGGTATTATTTAGAGTTTTTTTTTTAATATTCTCAGGCCCCAGGCGTAAAAAGCGCTGTCACGAAGACTGGTCCCAAGAAGGTAGAGTTGCCGAAGAAGGAAATTGCGCAGAACGGGCTCGCGAACGGCGACGAGTTGGCCAAGCCGCCGCCCAGCCCGCCGCTCGCCGACAACGCGCTGCTGCCCGACGTCATCGCGTAGGCGCCATTCCTATTCCTATTATTTCCGCTTAAATTTTGTGATTTTCTATAAGTGTATAATAGTTTTAAAGCCGCTAGCAGCGGCGTGATGTTAGGTGCGGGAGGTCCCTCCCAGTTTTATATTATAGAGTCGCTTTTTATAGATTTGTACGTTGCCGGTTCGTTGTCCGCGGCGGCGGCGCTGCTGTCTGCACGCGCCGTGCCCTCGCGGTTATTATCCATTATTATGAGTCTGTTTAGAATTTTTATATTACCAACGAATGTTTGATTTTAAATCTGGCTTTTAATTTATTTTCTTTCTATAATCGTATTATTTAAATAAAAATGTGAAGAAGGACTGAGACATTGTTTTATTTATGATGATAAAGTAACGATTATACGTTTATACGAATAATAAAATAATAAAATAATGAAAAAATAAAATAAAAATAAATGTTTACTATATTGCTATTCTCACTTTGTCGATGTAAACCTTACTATCATGGTGTCGCAAACGAACTTAATATACCAATTTATTCAAATAAAAATAAATGGTTATATCACCCCCTGGTTTTTTATTTCAAAAATTATTTATTCCGAGTAGATCCTTATCGAAAAAAACCTATATATTGTTTTAAAAGGTACTGGTAATGACTCACCATTGTAATATTCGTAAAGTGGGACACTAAAGTACATGCCCTGCCGCTTGACTACAGCATCTGGGAAATATTACCTAGACAAACAACTGGTAAAAGCACCCTATTACTCTTAAAAACAAAATAGACGTAGGCTTTTCTCATAGCAAGAAATTTTGTCTGGGTGGAATTCGTTTGGAAGGCATTTTTAATAATATTTAACCGATTTAGGTCCCACGCTATGATCCCCTGGTGGTGGGATAGGGGGAATCATCTCTATTTATGATGTGCGAAAGGGCGTTCCCACGTTAAATAAAATATTGGCCGCTGCAAAAAATATTTAAAATTAATGTGATCAAAAACGACAAAGTGTAATTAAAAAAAGAAGTAAGGATTTCGTTTTACAAAATATCGAAATAATACGACTGTTATATTGGAACGATGTAATATTAAAGCCTGGAGAGAGAAATAACTTCGCCGAATCCGTCGCAATGACGCTCTAGGTGCTAATAAAAAACTTGTAATCTTTATAGACGAGACATAGATCCACGCTCATTACACGGTGTCTTAATGGCAACCGGAGATGGATAAATGGGTCCGCAAAAACGAGAGTCTAGGTCAGAGATGGATAATTGTGCATATAGGTTCAGAAAATAGATCTGTGAAGGGTGCTGAGTTTTTTTAGGCCAAATCAAAAAAGATGATTGGTAAAATGAATGGGCAAAAGTTTACTAAATATATTGAGGAAAAATTAATCCCAACATACATCCAAATAGCATCTGGGTGATGGGCAATACGTCGTATCATAGCATGCAAGTAAATAAAAAGATTGGAAAATGATTAATTGGGTGAGAGAAGTTACAAATGAAAGTGACATTGAAGATTTTATAATTAATGTTGGGCTGAACAGCGATTGTGAAAGCGATAGCTGCTCCGAAACAATGGTCATGAAGATGAGAATGGGGTGTCTGGATTCAATGTGTTTCAGACGATTCTAATGAAGGTTCAAGTTGCAGAATATAATTTTTCAAAGATAACAATATGTAAAAAAAAAATAGTCTATATAAGCCCCGCACGTTGATATTGCGATGGAACCTTGTCACAATAACAGCTGCTTGACGTCATACACCATAGATTACTGACTATGTCGTAGACAGAGAAACCTATAGACTAATGATCGGCGTGGCCTCGAGTGAGAAAGGACGATAACGAATTTTTAGGTTATACAATAATCTTTATGACATTTAAACACATTTAGATAAAAAATTTAATTGTTCTAAGAACTGAACTGAACAAAATTCACCAATCTTAAGCTCACAAAACACTTTTTTCTCACTTAAATCAACTTGTAAACTCCTTAAATCACTACGCTGTTAAAGTTGTTTAGCAAACTGTAGAGTTTGCTAAACAAAAAAACCGGCACGGAGAAAGGGACAAACAATCACACCGCTCTATCTCATTTCTATGCAAGACGTATGCATAAATCTATCTTTTTCGTGTGCGAATGTGAAAGAAGGCGTCAATTTGTCTATAGGTTTCTCTGTCTACGGACTATGTACTAGCCATAGATTACTGTATATATACTAGGTACTAGCTTCGTATGTATAGACTTAATATATAAACGTGCCCTCTAGTTCGAATAAAAGTAAGTCTAGTTTACGTGTTCACACTAAAGATGGCAGCACAAAAATATATCAATTTGTTCTCAAAATAATGTTCTAAGTTGCATGCCCATGTCATACATCGCAAAAAGTACAGACAACTAAAAAATTTATCTTATTTTCGTGTGAGGTGTTGCCACCTCTGGTGAAAAAGTTGATAACGTAGGGCCTAGGGTTATTGGTATTTATATTATATTCTATACTATATTTACAGGTATTTAATTATAAATATTTCCTATTAAATTAGCTACTAATATAATAAACGTGAAAGAAGTCTTGTCTGGTTGATACGTTTTCATTAAACCTCTCAACCAATTTTAATGGACAACTAATAAATAAAACCAAGTATTAAAAAATCGATGTTTATTAATACAATCTAATAATTAGGTATAGACTAATTCTTCAACTCCACTCATATTATCATCTAAATCAGAACCAGTTTCAGAGTCCGATGTATCAGATTCACTGTCGTCCGCGGTATTGATGATAAATAATTCGTCAGTTAATCTGTCTTTACTCTGGTAGAATTTTGCAAAAGATTTAAAATGTCCGTCACATGTTGCTTTGAAATTAACATGTTCTCAGTAGTGTCCGAAGTATTTTTAAGCCGCGGTTTATATTTTGAATCAATAACTTAGAGTCCTTTTTCTCCGTTACAAAATAACCAGTCGGGCCATAAATACTGTTACATAAAGCTTTTCATTTTTCAACTTTTTAATTATTTTGAATTTGGAACGCGTTCATTATTTTTAAAAGTTCTTTCCATTTCACATATTTTTTCGTGTTCATTATTAAAAAGCAAATTTATTTAAAAATAGAACTCCATAAGCCTCGCTCAATATTTAAAAAAAAAACAAAGTTCTATTAATTTAGTTTACAACGGTCACAATCAGCATTAAAGGACTAAGCTCCATCACGCGCGATAATTTTTAAGTGGTTTGCTGAATTCAAAAGGGGTTTAATTAAACTTAAAGATGACCAAAAAAACCCCCCCCGCAAACAGCAGTAACGGCAGAAAATGTATGGACTACTGAAATGTTGGCGCGAGAAGACGCACGAACCACATACGGAAATCGAAAAGATTGTAGGCATTAGTTCGGGGAGCACTCATGCCATCCACGTCAACATTTTGGAGTGAGGAAGCTTTGTTGTTGATGGATCCCTCGTTTGCTCTCTGAAAGCGAAAAACAGACTCGTGTGGATTGGTGTCATGAAATGCATCTACTTTTTTTTTTAATGGCGCATCTAAGCGTGTTTTAGAAATCGTTACTGGTGTCGAAACATGGATCTATCAATATGATCCGAAGAATAAAAGGTAATCATCGGTATAGGTCTACTCAGAAGGACAAATACCGACAAAACTGCAAAGACCTCGCAACGTCGGCAAAAAAATGGTGGGTAATTTTTTTTTCACGGAGCGGACATTTGTCGATGTCAATGCTGGAAAATTGTAGATCAGTCAACTCTGAATGATGTACTACAGTTGCATTACCCAAAACTTTTCAAGCTGTGCGGGAGAGAAGACCAAAGACCAAAGACCGGGCTTCGGGGAATCATGCTGCATCACGATAACGTCTAAATAAAAGCATTTATTGAGGAATCTGGTGTTGAAACTTTAAGTTACCCACCCTACAGCCCTGACTTAGCTCCTTGTGATTTCTTTTTGTTCCCAAGAGTCAAATAAAAAATAAAAGGCAAGTTTTTTTCAAGCACCGAAAAAGCCGTGGCTGCCTACGAAGAAGTGATTTCCGACCTGTTAGATAAGACTGGCAAAAGTGGTTTCAGAGTTGGTTTAGGCAAATGGAACTTTGTATAGAGCATGATGGAGAATATTTTGAAAAGATGTAAAATAAATATTAATAGTATCTAGAATACTTTTTGCATATCTCAAAACTTGTTGAGTGTCCTAGGTAGGAGTTGCTTAGCTGGTTAGCTGTGAGCAATTTCACTTCATATGGGCGAAGTAGATAGTTTCCCAGATGTGTTACGTTTGCGCATTAAGGGTCCAAAATCAGTCAGGACGTTTCTTTCGTTAAGGAACAAAACCAGCACATCCTTGAGTTGCTTAGTCCGAGGATAGTTGTGTGCTTTTTAAGACAACAGTGTCCAGTCAGGGCTCTTGCCAGAATGAGCAGTTTATTTTTACCTAATCCCAGGGCTTCTGAAGTGAATTTACGATCAATAGCCCGGATTAAAGTTTTAAGCTTGGTGTATTAGACTAGATCTTAAGTGATTTATTGTGATAAAGAGTTTCAAGTGTTAATCGGGCTACGCTTTTTGAGATTCCACAAAATGGTTCTGTTCCAAATTGTGTGATCTTTATGTCCTCCCGTCCGAGTTCATCGGCAAGTTAATTGCTTACAATACCCGCGTGCCATGGAACCCATTTTAAAACGACCCTGTTGTCACATCCCAAGGTTTAGACGGTTTACGCAGTCTCCAACTAGTTTCGAGTTCACTAAGTTTGATCTCAGCGCTAACAATGCTGCTTGAGTATCAGAGTTTATATAGATCATATTATTGACGTAAGAGTTTCTGCAGATTGATTTACGCACACTGAAGTATGACAAACATTTCTGCCTGGAAGATAGAGGTGAATCTACTCTAACTCATACTAAGATTAAATTTGGGTCTTTCCCCATAAATTACAAAGCCTACGTCGGGGCTCATTTTTGACCGGTGTACTATATTAGGCTACCGACCTCACAGATAACCTGCTCATTTAG